CTTGAACTCACAGAAATCCAACCACTTCTGCCTATTGATTGCTGGGATTAAAGGTGTGTCCCACCACACTCTGCTTGAATACCACTGTTTTCTCCAACAACAGTAGTTAAGGGAAGCAGGGCCTGGGATGGTTCATATGGAAGTTGAAGTCTCACCTCTGCCATGCACTAGTGCTGTGTTCTTAGGTGATTTATATAGCTTCTTCCTGAGGGAAAGACATGGACACAGAGTGACATGTGATAAAGGAAGATGCTGTTCTTTATTTATTTTTTATTTTATGTGTGTGAGTGTTTGCCTGCATATATGTAAGTACACCATGTGTTTTCAGTGCCTGCAGAGATCAGAAGAAGGCATCAGATCTCCTAGAACTGGAGTTACAGATAGTTGTTAGCCACTAAGTAGGTGTCAAGAACTGAACCCAGGTCTTCTGCAGAAGCATACATATTCTTAACTAATGAGCCAACTGTCTAGGCCAGAAACTGCTGTTCTTAACAAAAATTATTTGTGTTCTGTGAATGGCTTGAGGGACTTCCCTTATGATAAGTTATACAGTTGTCTTCAAGTAATACAAATTGAGTGATTGTCTTTAAAAACATTCTGAGTACATTTAATGCATACAGTATGATATTTTAGATGCATACAGTATGATATATTTTAGATGCATACAGTATGATATTTTAGATGCTTACAGTATATTTTAGATGCATACAGTAACAAGGTTACTACTTTTGCAGTAAAAACAAGAAAGAAATGGGTAACCAACTGAATGGATAATTTTCTCTTTTCCCCCTTTTTTTTCCAGTCAAATTAAGGATGGAGCCCAGAGCCTAACCCCAAGAGCTGTACCACTGGGCTAAGTCCTGATAATTTTCTTTTAAGGCAGTTTCAGAATCATCAACCCTTTCATGTTTATATCAACAGTGTACCTTTAGGCAAGTTTTTTTTAAATACCTGAGAGCCTTATTTTACTTATTAATCAAGAGGATATATGAATGTCTACTTATTAGAGTTGATAGGAAATTCAATTATGTAATTTAAATGAAACCTCAGAGGTTATTGATATTTCAAATGGCTTAATTATACACTAGCACGGCATGTAAATTTTTTTGTTTTCCCTTCAAGCATCCTCAGCAGATAGAACTGATGATGCTAGGGCCAGGCCAGAGGAGCCTGTTTGGTCTTCTCTCTCCTTGAGGCATCTGCTCTAAACAGGCCCACTGTTGCCCTTTGTGGGGCCCAGGGCAGGAGTATCAGTGAAGGCATACCTACCATATAAGTATTTCAGTGATAAATTTAGCCAGTAAACTGTTAAGTCTTATATATTCTGCATTCTGATTATTACAATTTTCCTTTCACAATAAAGTAGAACACCAGGTTTGAATTTAGGACTTTGACTTAGGACTAGAATCTTGAACTGCTTGGAATTCTCTGCCAAAATGTGACTGATCAGGAAGTAGAGGCCCCTACACCCTGTTTCTTCTCATCACTGGCCCTATCCTACACTAAGAGGAGCTTTGTTGCTTGTGCGTGGGCTCTCCAAACTCCAAGCTTGAGCTTTAGCCATGTCTTCCTGTGAACAGCAGCCTTTTGATCACTTTAAAAAATATTTTTTGAGCCGGGCATGGTGGCGCACGCCTGTAGTCCCAGCACTTGGGAGGCAGAAGCAGGCGGATCTCCGTGAATTCAAGGCCAGCCTGGTCTACATAGTGAGTTCTAGGACAGCTGGGGCTACAGGGAGACCCTG